TTACATCGACGTGTATGTGAATCTGCATTAGATTTTGACTGATTAATGGAAATAAAAATGAATTTATTTAATAACTATTTAACATCACTATGAATATGTACAAATATTGTTAAGTAAATACTTCGACATTAAACTGTAAAGTGAACTCACTCATGAATTGCCCACCCAGAACGCACTTTATATCACATCTCAATTCACGTTTCCATGTCAAGGAGTAAATGGTTGACAGTTATGATTCAACGTACAGGAAGTATGAAAAAGCTCACGTCAGAACCATAAAGAAATAGAATATGTACGATATATGTATACCTGATTTCAATCAAAGAGACAATTCCGTTCTAAGAAAACAGTTTGGGCCTATCTTAGCTGATGTATTCATGTCATATGTGGGAAAATATGACGAGCGAGCTTATTAGTGCGGCAACTCTATATAGAAGATGCATGGATGATATTCTAATTATATGTGATAAGGATTTTGATGTTTACCGATTATTGGATAAATTCAATGGTGTTCAAGATGATATTGTGATGACATATGAATCAGAAAGTAATGGCCAATTAGCCTTTTTAGACATACTTTTAAGTCGAAGGGATGATGGCACTATTAGACGGTCAGTGTGAAGGAAACCAATCTGGACGGGACAATACTTAAATTTCCATAGTTTCTGTTCACTGCAATGCAAAAGAGGTCTGGTTAGGTGTCTCTTTAAGAGGACTTTATTATTTATTTATTTTAACACAGATATTGGTACAAGGAGGCACCAAATACATATGCGCCACACAAATCTCATTCGATATGTGTGAGGGGTGTGATACTGCTCGGGTGCCCGAACCGAAGCAGGTGGTTCTCCTAAGGCGTCACACCTTGAGCCTTCGACCTGAATGTCTGATCCAGAAGGCACTGGAGCATCGTAAGGAGATGCAGTCCCATGGAAGCCCGTGACCAACAATTGGTTCATACGCCATCTGTTCCTTCAGGATACTGGAGCCCATGTGCACCATTGATTTGGAATCCGGTTAAAGCGCCGGACGTTCGCTTTTCGTCCTCTCATTTTCGTAAGCAACACCCCCCGCCACGAGAAGGCAGTGAGTAGGACTTCTCTGGCAGAGGCTATATACGCGTGGCCATGTGAGAGCATTTCGAGAGGGAGAGCGGACTCTCCCCACTCTCGGCCGTACCAGGGCATTTGGAAGCTCATAGAATTTGTACCTCTTGTGGTGGACCAAAAAGTATAATAACCAAAAATCAGTGATAAAGTTAACAATAATCATTTATAAATTAACAACACAAATTAAAAGTTCAGGGACGTTACTTAAATCGGCTAGTGGTTGCGTATTCTGTTGAGTTTTGGTCCCATAAATCCACAATTATAAATGCGTAATAATTCCACAGAGGTAAATATGACGCCAATAAGTTTCTTTGACGTAGGATATAATGGAAATGACACAGCAGTCTAAAATGAGGATAATATCCAGTTTAGAACGCAATTGACTTGGTAACGAGCGAGAATAGAACAATGGGTATGTGCGTAGTAGTGTATTTGTGAACAACCGAAAATGTGTGTCACGCTATGTTGGAATTACAACGGAAAAAGTGTTCAAGGTCATTGACTAAAACAACACGTACAGTCATTTAATGATAAATGTACATTCAGTGAGAAATTGACAAATACAAATAATATTAAAAACTATTTACAAAATAAGCTTGTCAGATCTATCTCCACATAGCTCCCCCCAGAGTGTCCGGAGGTAACACTGGTTATAAAGGGAGCAATTTGTAAATAACACTGATACGTGTTGTAAAGATTACCTATTATTATTTATTAAAGGAAATATAAATCTCTAATGATCAACCCTGTCTGCAAATAAGAGACTTATAGGTACATTCTGTAACCTGCTATTTGATGGACTTATTGAATGTGATACTGATAACTAAGTCTAATTCTTTATTTCACGACTGATTTATTGTTTTTCAGAATTGTATGAATCCATTAAAGTCGTCAAAGCTTTGTTATGATGTTTACGCCGGTCTACAACTTATGGAATTTGTGATTATGGAAGACCATGTTAAAAACCGGTTTACAAGTTCACGTTAACTGTGTCCCGTATTGCCTAGTAGCATTTTTATTCAACTAATGAATATTTAGCAACTACACTCATTGTCTTTATAAACCGTGTCCGTATTTATTAATAGTCGATACGACGCTAGAACAAATATAGATAGAGAATAATATGAACTCCTTATAATCCATGAAATGAACAAGTAATAAGATGGATTATGTAATAATTTATTTCACTTTTAAAATTTAGTTACAGATTTATTCCAGCACAATGTCACTTACATCTACTCACTTAATCCTCTGTAATTATGTGATCTCTTCAAATTGTAATCAACTATTACGTAACCCAAGTTTTCAATTCTTAAATCCACGGATCATTTATATGCTATAAGATTTTCACACCACTTATCTGTCTATGAACTCCAGTCCACTATTACACCACCCATTCTTAATGTTTTATTGACTGTAAAAACAAATGACCTTTGACCTTATATATATATATATATATACATACATATATATGTCATTTCATATACGTCATTTCAATTATTCATTTTCAAGTATGTCAACTACTTCCCATATCACTGTTAAATCCTAATGCATATTTAGTTATAATGAATGCATACCACTGTTAATCAACATTTCTCATGGTTTCATTTTAATTAATAAGCGGAACTAATCACATGAAGTTAAAATCTACTTAGCTACTGATAATATTTTGATGATAAACGTAATCCGACGAAGGTGAATATGATATGTGGGTGCCTAATCTGCAAGACTGTACGTGGATGTAGGGTTTCTTAATCTTTCTTAATTATTACAGGCAGTTACACATGAACATCATTGCTATTCATTCCCATGAAGGTAGGAATAAGATGAAAATTAAAATTATGAAAAAGTTTATTGAATAATCAATGCTGCTAAAGCAGAAAATCAAGTTTACAAGTTGGTATTAAGAATTCTTAAGTATTAATTGTCCACTGTCTTCTCAACTTCCGTTGCGAAACGTTCACCATACTTCTCAATGATGCGATGCTTATGGATTCTTTGGCTTCGTTGAATACTTATATACACTTCACTCCGTCGTGGTAATGCAGTTAATGTATTATTTTGGAAGTTCTGGGTACTATGTAACTTCCATCTGCTACAACACCTAAGAAGTTGATGAGCTATGCAGTTAGTATTTCATAATTGATATAGCTTACCTGTTAGACTTCGTCTTTTAACGTAGGCAAGTAGCATGTGACGGCACGGATATCGACACATAATAAACGTGCTACAATTGCATTGACAAATTCTTACATCCACTTCATAATGTTGTCCGCGGTCAACCATAAACAACCAGTCGCCGCTTTCATATTCCACGTAGACGAAACGCATTTGTTTAAGTTCGTATAACACTTTAGATCTTACGAATGGGGTCAAAATGTTTAGCAAGGGTATAAGACGCTGTGGAGCATTATATTTATAAGATCTTCCAGCTATTACTTGATCTTCGATACTTCTTCTAGTTGACGTCATTTCAATCCATTTTAAAGCCTTGTACATACATTTGTACAGACTATCACTTTTTCGTACATATCGTTTTATTTGCCTATTTAGCGATTCAACACGATTATTCGTGCTGTTACCCAATGTTAAAACATGACCGTAAAACGCACGCGCCCATATTGTCTTACGTGCCATCCAAAAACGTGACAGGTACCGACCTCACATCGGCAGGCTTTTCCCTTCGTGTCCACGCAAACATTACAGTTCGTCCTCGACCCCAATTATCCGTCACCACTAACTAGAATAACGAATATCTACATAGTAAAATACAACGATAAACATATTCACTTTTTATTATTAGTATTATACGTAGAATCAATGCACAAAACTTCTGGATATTTCCTGTACAGTTGTATTTGGTCATTACTACTGAAACATATTCTCGTGACATATCCATTTTCTAAATGTTCTCTCAATTCGCCTTTCTGTCTCAGCATATCCATTACCTGCTTCCGAGTAAAACAACCTGAAATATATTTATATACACTTACCAGTGGAGAGTGTAGCTTTCATACCTTTGACATCAGCAGCTGTTACTTGCTTACCAGTTCTCTCCTTAATACTTTCGATAACTTCATCTGCTGACTCACAGTAAAGTATTACGGGCTTCAAGTTCTCTTTTTCTTCTGATGATAATCTCCTTGTCCATGGATCACATACCATCTATGAACTACTACATGGATGATTGTGGAGCATGTTGTAGGATTTGATGACATATCCTTGCTCCTAGTCTTACACGGAATTTAGACCTTAAACATAAGATATTAGTTAAAGACCTTACGATTTTTGCTTCACTTTCAAACCTTCCGATTTCCGTTAATGACCAAACGTACAATTAAACGTTACAAACAGGTATTTGAACCTGACATCCTTTAGCAATCTGCTTTCCGTGTGGATGTAACGAGTATAAGTAGTTTGAGAAGCGACAAAATTATTATTCTATACTTTTTGGAACTCTTTTAAGGCGCTTTCAAAATCATCCCACAACACGAAACGCTTGTTCAGTATCATACTTCGAGAGGCATCGGTAAGGTCGACTGAAATGTCACTTGAGCATGAAGCATTAAAAACAGACATGACTAATTATTAAAAAGTTATCCCTTGCAACAATAATAACCCAAGGAAATACTACAAATACTTAGGATTTACCTGTGGCCTGACATTCCGTTGAGCTTTACTACACTTGTTGGGATCAAAGATCAAATTACAAAGCAACAACAGAGCCAAAGTGTACACTGCAAAGCAGAGAATGCTAAATTAATGGTTTTGGTATTTATTTCGTGCTTTTGTATGCAGCATAAGATGAAAAACCTTTATAATCATGCAATCCAACCAACCCACGGCAATTAAAATACAGAATGACCGCCTCTAGTCAAGCCGTTCAAGGTCGTTGAAACGAAAAGGCGGGCACATTCGAAGGCACCTAACGTTAGGGTTAGGGCATCGTGAAAAGCGACACTGGATAAATACATTCGTCTTTGAAAATGAAGTGCATTACTCGAAGTAGCAAATAAGGGCAGTGTACTCATCGGATTAGGATAACTAAGCAATGCACTGGGATTATAGATGACCTGGAGAACAATTACATGCATTGCCTTACAACTAATACACGCAGTTCTAGCATCGTGGAAGGAATGCTGCTGCATTTGTAATAGCTCTCTTTCCTGATTTGGTATGTTAATTCCTGCATCTAATTGATCTTCCATCTGCACATGCAGTTGACCACCAAAATCACACATAAGGGATTATATATGCAACTCAGGGGTAATTTCTCTAACCTTTTGGTTATCCTGTAAATCGTCTTTGAAATTTCGCCTTTACACAGCATTAGAAATTAGTGCACTCTACATGATTTTGTAGTGGTTCTTTGATAGTTGCATAGAGATGTGAAACAGTCTTATCTGGGAATGCTAAAGTTTATAATAAGCTATAAGCATCCTTCCCATTGAATGTGAGGAAATTAGCCGTCATTTTATCATCCTTAACTTCTTTCCTGGTTAGGCTTCAGATTACAGACCTTTCCATGTAATCTTCGAAAACGTCAGAATTGAATGTACATTCAAATATTCTATCAAAGTATCCATCGCGACGTCGATATAATGGTTAGAATTATTCTAATTGACGTGCTTACTAAGAATTCAAGAAATGGTGCAATTTACAGCAAGTAGAACTAGAAGGGCACAAACGAACATATTACATTTGGAATTCGTAACCAGCGGAATATAAAATACAAAAGAATCATTATTTCGTACAAAAGCCACATAATTACAAAATAATCATATTTTGTCACACACATATAGTCATTGGATCGCCTATTTATTGAATTTATAACGCGATACACACTAAGTTACATAGCCTAGTAGGTCGGTGAAATAGTTAGTTTAGGCCAAAAATATTTGTAAGTTGAGCTACGCGGATGGTGCCTCTTCCCCTAACATTATGACTTAAAAAAGTAGGTGGTCTTGTGTTTGGTCACAAATTTGAGTTCGGTTGTCTTAATTTGATCGTTTGAGTACATGCTCATATATTCGTCCTTAAGCCACACTTCAGGTATGATGTATTATAATGCTGCCCAAACTGAAATAGGTGGAGCGATGCACAAATATGTGACCTGGTAAGTAAATGTAGGATACCTTAACTACCAAATTATCCCCCTAGTAAGTTAGAGCTTACATGTATATGTTTGTCATTCTTATGTTAGTGATGTTCTATTAGAAACCTTTAATTTTACTTTGGCTGTGATCACGAACTTCTTTAGCAAATGCTTTGAGACAAAGCAGGTTTTTCGCAATACTGAAAATCGACCTAAAAAAATATAGAGAACTGTCATTTATAAAACCGAGTGTTTTCACAGTCCATGTTCAATATATTTTACACATAATTTAAGCTCACATTTCCTTCAGGTTTTACAAACTTTTCAGCAGTTAAACGTTCTCGAGTGGAATGTTACTTAATTCTCTGTTACTTCAATTCTCACATAAATGCATTCTTTCCTATTAAACGTCGACAATTAGGTATGTTTAGTTTTCATGAGTTACTATGTTCCTGATAGTTTGTAGCCACTAAATGATGTCTTGTATTCTGTTATGTACCAAAAACATTCCGATTGATGTTATTGTTTTTCATTGAAAGTTTTGTTTAAAAACTTCTATAGCTAGGGATTTATTATTATCTGTCAACAGCTCTTATCGCTTTGATACTTCTGTACCCTGTACAAATGGAAATTGGGGACACAAGTGTAAAAGTTGGTGTTCGTGTTCGACCATTGTCAAACAGTGAAGTGAATGACGGGAGTTCGACCTGTTTGTCATACCCAAATGAAGAAAATCAGCTAATAATTGGAAATGACAGGCTTTTTGGCTTTGACTATGTTTTCAAGGAAACAGATTCTCAAGAGCATGTTTACAAAAAGGCTGCACTTCCAATGGTTGAAAGTATTCTCAAAGGATATAATGCTACTCTGTTTGCCTATGGTCAAACTGGAAGTGGGAAAACATATACAATGGGTACATGTATCTCTGAAAGTGTGGTAGAAGAATCCGCTGGTATTGTTCCTCGGATTATTAAGGATTTATTTGAGAGAATGCCAAATTATGAGTATGAATATACAATGAAGGTTTCATTCGTGGAGGTAATATACACATTTTTGTATTAAGTTATTTCCCAGATATATAAAGAGGATATACATGATCTGTTAGGCGAAGATGTATCTGCATCCTTACAAATACGTGAAGAGAATCAACTTGTTAAGGTATTTCCTCACTGCGTATTTAGAGTTTACTGCATAGATTCCAGGCCTAACTGAAACAGTGGTCACATCTCCGGAAGAAGTTCTTTATCTTCTTCACTGTGGCTCAACAAAAAGAAGTGTTGCTAGTACAGCGATGAACTTAAAATCCAGTCGCAGTCATGCCATTCTTACTCTATGTTTTTTGTTGCGGCCAAAGATAACAGAGATGAATGGGAAGAATACAGAAGATACATTAACAGCTAAATTACATTTAGTCGACCTAGCTGGGTCTGAACGAATTAAGAAAACACATGCTGAAGGTGACCGACTTAAAGAAGGTATGTGTATTTTATACGTATCTTTGGATATTTCTACTGTTATCTTTTGGTGGCGTTGTTTTTTTATTACGTTACTTACTTACTTACTTACGCCTGTTACTCCTCGTGAAGGAGCATAGGCCGCTCACCAGCGTTCTCCATCCAACCCTGTCCTGGGCAATCCTTTCTAGCTCCGTCCAGTTGTAATTCATCCTTTTCATATCTGCTTCTATTATCCGACGCAATGTGTTCTTTGGCCTTCCTCTTTTTCGCTTCCCTTCAGGATTCCAAGTTAGGGCTTGCCTCGTGATGCAGTTTGACGATTTGCGTAATGTATGTCCTATCCATTTCCATCGTCTTTTCCTAATTTCAAATTCAGCTAGAAGTTGGTTTGTTCTCTTCCACAGTAGGCTATTGCTGATGGTATCCGGCCAATGAATGTTGAGTATCTTGCGTAGACAGTTATTTATAAATACTTGTACTTTCTTGATTGTGGTTGCTGTGGTTCTCCAAGTTTCAGCTCCATACAGTAGAACTGCCTTGACGTTCATATTGAAGATCGTGACTTTCATATTGGTTGAAAGTTGTTTTGAGTTCCATATGTTCTTCAATTGTAGGAATGCGACCCTTGCTTTGCCAATCCTTGCCTTTACGTCTGCATCTGAGCCTCCTTGTTCATCGATGATGCTTCCTAGGTATGTGAAAGATTCTACATCTTCCAGAACTTTGCCATCAAGAGTGATTGGATTGCTGTTCTCCGCTTTGAATTTGAGGACCTTGGTTCTCCCCTTGTGTATGTTGAGACCTACTGATGCAGAGACTGCTGCTACATTGGCTATCCTGATCTGCATTTGTTCATTTGTATGCGATAGGAGGGCCAGGTCATCTGCGAAGTCCAAATCGTCTAATTGATTTTGAGCTGTCCATTGTATTCCGTGTTTCCCTTCAGATGTCGAGGTTCTCATAATCCAGTCGACCACCAGGAGAAAAAGGAAGGGAGAGAGTAAACAGCCTTGTCTGACTCCGGTCCTTACTTGGAATGCATCTGTCAGCTGTCCTCCATGCACTACTTTGCACTGTAGTCCGTCGTATGAGTTCCGGATAATATTGACAATCTTCTCAGGAATTCCGTAGTGTCGAAGAAGTTTCCATAATGTCTTCCTATCTACACTGTCGAATGCCTTTTCATAATCAATGAAGTTGATGTATAGTGATGAGTTCCACTCAACTGATTGTTCGACGATGATCCGTAGTGTTGCAATTTGGTCTGTGCACGACCGATCCTTACGGAATCCAGCTTGTTGATCTCGAAGTTGGGCGTCTACTGCATCCTTCATCCGGTTCAGCAACAATCTGTTGAAGACTTTCCCTGGTATTGACAGTAGTGTTATGCCTCTGTAGTTTTCACATTTGCTCAGATCTCCTTTCTTTGGAATCTTGACGAGGTGTCCTTCTTTCCAGTCCATCGGCACTTGTTCCTCCTCCCAAATCTTTTTGTGGTTGTTTCGATGTCTGATTTCAGTGCTTCAGCTGGTATGTTGTCGGGTCCTGCTGCTTTCCCGTTCTTGATTTGTCTGACGGCCATTCTAATTTCTTCCGTAGTTGGTGGATTGACATCTATAGGAAGATCTATGTGTGCTGCTTCGATGTCCGGTGGATTCATTGGAGCCGGCCTATTCAGGAGTTCCTCAAAGTATTCTACCCATCTGTTACGTTGTTGTTGAATTTCGGTGATTGGCTTGCCTTCTTTGTCTTTGATCGGCCTCTCTGGTTTACTGTATTTCCCTGATAGTTTCTTCGTTGTATCGTAAACCTGTTTCATATTTCCTTCTCTAGCAGCTTTTTCTGCCGTCGTTGCTAGTTCTTCCACGTATTTCTTCTTGTCGGCTCTAATGCTCCTCTTCACTTGTTTGTTTGCTTCTATGTATTCAGCATATGCTTGGACTTTCTCTGCTCGTGTTCGGCTGTTGTTTATTGCTGCCTTCTTGTTCTTCCTTTCTTTGATCTTGTCCACTGTTTCTGTAGAGATCCATTCCTTATGATGGTATTTCTTTAGACCCAGAACCTCTTGACACGTTGAAGTTAATGCTTCTTTGATGCCTTTCCAGTTGTCCTCCATAGTAGTTTCTTCTTCTTTCAGTAGATCTTGTAAGGCTTGGAACCTGTTGTTGAGAGCTATCTTGAATTCATTGAGTCTGTCAGTATCTCGAAGGAAGGCTGTATTGAACCTTTGTATTGCTGTTTGTCCACTTGTCCAGTTCTTTTTTAGCTTCAGTTTCAAATTGGCTACAACTAGGTGGTGATCTGAAGCTACGTCAGCACCTCTCCTGGTTCTCACATCTTCCATTGTCCTTCGGAATTTTTTGTTGATGCAAATATGATCTATTTGGTTCTCTGTAGTGTGGTCCGGTGAGATCCATGTAGCCTTGTGTATACGCTTGTGTGGAAATATTGTGCCTCCTATGACCAATTTGTTGAATGCACATAGATTTGCAAATCTTTCTCCATTTTCGTTTCTTTCTCCCAGTCCATGTCGTCCCATAATATCTTCATATCCAGTGTTGTCTATTCCGACTTTGGCATTTAGATCTCCCATTAGAATGGTGAGGTCCTTTCTTGGGCATTTCTCTATCACTGACTGCAGCCGCTCGTAGAATTGATCTTTAATGTCGTCGTTGCTGTCATTGGTGGGTGCATAACATTGGATAATATTCATTAAGATCCCCTTCTTCTTTGTCTTGAATGATGCTTTGATGATCCTGGATCCGTGAGATTCCCATCCTACAAGTGCATTTCGTGCTACTTTGGACAGCATAAGAGCGACTCCCTGAGTGTGTGGAGCATTGTCCTCTTCGTGACCGGAGTATAGCAGCATCTCTCCCGTAGCTAGCCTTTTCTGTCCAGCTTGGGTCCAGTGGGTTTCGCTGATTCCCAGTACTGCTAAGTTGTATCTCCTCATTTCCATTGATATTTGACTGGTCTTCCCGGTTTCCCACATTGTTCGAACGTTCCATGTACCTATAAAAATTTTTGCTCTGGTTGTTAGAAGGGGCATCGGCCTCGTGGCTTCCGAAGGAACTCGGCTTTCACCATGAAGCGTCATAATTCTTCTAAATGAAGACCTTCTAACTCCCAGGGCAGAGTTAAAATGGTTTGGATTATTTTTTCTGGTAAGCGTTTTTTAGCGAGTTAGTTTTCTACGGGATGGGGACGCTAACCCCATACCCAACCCTCCTCCTTTACCCGGGCTTGGGACCGGCAGCAACCCTATAAGAGCTACAGGCGGAGTTTTTTTTTATTACGTGGTCGACATAAATATAGTCCTCATTTGTCTTGCCAAACAGACCAATTAGTAGTTACTCGACATTCAATTTTTTTTCATCACATCAGGTTTGGTTACGCTTGGAAAGGCCCAGGTAGTAAGCAATGTGTTATTGACACAGTAGAATTCATCCCCATACTTACGGACTCTCTATGCTCTTTAACATGTGAGTGGCATTTAACTCAGTCGATTGAAAAGTTTCACGAGATTATCTTCGACAAGGGTGTTAAACGAAATTGCTATCCTATCAAAGGCCCTGTTGTCATTTGCAAAGCATATGAGCGTTTGTAGAAAATTTTACTCTTTAGTGATGAAACTAGATACTATGTTTTCTCCCACCGGTCGAATGTAGGGTGATGTTCCTGGAATACTCTCCTTACTTTTCTTAAATTACAGAGTGAAAAAGTTAAGTGTTTCATATTTTTTACGTATTTAAGTGTTCAGATTAACGAAGTGCAATTAGGGATACAGGCAACTCGTTTGGAAGTAGTTAAGCCATTTAATTCGTGGTTCTGGAGAAACATCCAACTATTATCGAGGGGTGTGTATCCAGTGTAGGAGTTTGTTCTGTATTAACTCTTTGAGACGGCCGATGGAAGTAGATGTGTATAGTTTACTGATGTCCTGTCACTACTGTCTTCTCTGTATTAAGATCGAGTTCGGTGTAAGCGAGTCAATTCAACACATAACGATAATAGAAAATTAACAATGGAAGATTTACAAAAAAGCGTTAAATTATTAGGTGTAATATATTTAAATTTTGTAACCTTGAGTGAGAAAAAGAGTGAAGATTTGTCACTGACCACATTTAATTTAAACCATATAGTTTGAAGCTTTGCTCAACGAAATTTCCTTATCATACAGAATGATTTTCTGCTTAAAATTTAAATTGGTGAGTGAGTTAGGTGACTTATCTTCACTGGAAAACTAGTTTTAAGGATCTCTGTAGTTTTTTTAATTAACTTGTTTAGCCCAGTTGATATGGTGTTATTCTTTAAACATTTCCGACAGGTATCGATATAAATAGAGGATTACTTGCCCTTGGTAATGTAATAAGTGCTTTATGCGAACGGGACGCAAAGAAACGATCGCATATTCCATATCGCGATTCACGTTTAACTCGCCTACTTCAAGATTCGTTGGGCGGGAATAGTACCACGTTAATGCTTGCTTGTGTTAGTCCTGCAGATATAAATATGGAAGAGACATTGAACACACTTCGGTGAGTTGTTGTTTCAGTGTTGTATATTCCATATTTAATTCACCTTTATGTTGTTACTAAGCTCAACCTATTCTGACTTGTGTTGAAGTTTGACGTAAGGTATTTATACACTAGAAAAGATGTGTGAAGGCCACTCTCCGCACCTAGGATTATTTATTTATTTTTATTTTAACACATAGATATTGGTACAAGGAGGCACCAAATACATATGCGCCACACAAATCTCATTCGATATGTGTGAGGGCTGTGATACTGCTCGGGTGCCCAAACCGAAGCAGGTGGTTTTCTTAGGAGGCCACTCCCCGAGCCTTCGACCTGAATGTCTGATCCACACGGTAGTGGAGCATCGTAAGGAGATGCAGTCCCATGGAAGCCCGTGACCAACAATTGGTTCATACGCCATCTGTTCCCGCAGGATACTGGAGCCCATGTGCACCATTGATTTGGATTACGATAGTCCGATAATAATAGAGTTTATGGGCTGGTATTAAATTTCTGTTTGACGTCCCCTAAATATCACCGGATGTCGAAGAAATTGGTTGGGTTAGCGTAATACATACCATGACTACCTCAATGGATGAACTTAATATCCTGGTTGTTATATCTAGAACTTAGATATTTGATATACCGCGTACTACGTGAGCACCCGAACCCTAGAACCTTCCAAGTCGCAAATGACAAGACGAGTGAGAAGGAATATTATTCCAGTGTCAAATATGGTACAAAACTCAGGTATTTATAGTTTTTAGTAAAAGTGAAATCATCATTATAATCATTCAATCCCGCATACAGTGCTCTTTAGCATTTGTCCAATAGAGAAGCTACACGTCGAGACTCTGGAGTGTTCTTCCAAAAGGTGATTGTATGGAATATCTCCGGCTCTTTTTGAGCTCCTTAGGACTTCCTTGAGTTCACCCGTGGGCCGTCATCACACTGGCCAACCACTTTTTAACTCAATATCTGATATTCAACCTAAACATTATCCAGTCCGTTGTTCAGCATGCGCGACCCGTACTTCGAATTATAGAATCTCGCCGATTTTCTCTGCGAAATAAAATGTTAAAGCTACATAATGTATGACACCCTCGACTAGCGATGTTAGCATAGTGATATGGGGCGGTCTGCTCGGTGATCTGTATTATTCTGCAAACATTTCTAGTTTCAACTCTTTTAACCAACACTTAGTTTTCCGCCAGTTAATTTATTCAGTGGTTTGTTATAGTGTTACTCAATTTACCAAGTACAAGTCCATGTACTCGGCTTTAAAGCATGCATTTTGTCTGAGTAGTAATATCCAGATACTCAATTAAAGTAGGTGAAATTGACCGACCAATGATCGAAGACCTTGTACGACATCACTAAAACTCAATTGTATTTTTGGTGCATATGTATCCATCGTCTATCTTCATGTAGATCGTGAGCTTCAGTACCGTTTCATGCTTTTTATTCTGCTAATTCATTCCTTTTCAAACCATTTTACCTACGTTTAGTCTCTTCCAATACCAATGTCTTACAGAAAGAGATAGTGTTAGTAAAAATATAAAATAACATTAGGAGTTGAGATTTCGTTCTGGACATTATTAACTCATGCGTTCTTATAGTGTGAATTGTTGACACTTCCCGTTTGTCTTCATCGTGGATGGCAATCTAGTTAGGAATCTGAAATAGAAGCTAAAGGAGTGGAGACGGCCTTGTCGACCTGAGGGCGTGACTGCAAATCTCAAAAGACAAGTTGTTATAACTTGTGACCGCCGTTTAGTGAGCAGTGACTTATCGATCGGACAAAAGACGCGTAAAACACGTGATAACAACCTAGAGTCCCGATTTCCGCCTAACCCGGCCAGTTAAGTCTAGAACACAAGTCTCAGCTTCTGCGATATGAATCATTATTTTTCAAACATACTCAGTTTATATACCAGTCAAACCGAACACAACGTACCAATAAAATATGAAACAACATTTGTACAAGAATTGGCCAAATGTGGCTGTGAATGAGGGAGGTAGTAATCAATACACTGGGTATAGTTCAAGAATGGTAAAACATAAAATAATGGTTCATAAGTCAAAATAAAGCTTATAATAAGAGGAACATGAATATAAACAGTTTAGTTATTTAATAATTATACAATAAAAATATACGTTTAGTATTGGTTCATAAAAGGATCCCAAGTTACCATTCATTGTTTCTCGGGTCCCAACACAAGTACAAGACGCTAATTTTTAAGTGAGTTGTGTAATGCTTTAGCTTTGTACCTTGAGCTACACTACCGTCGCCGTAAAACCTTCAGACATAAGTCAAGATTTTCCTACTCCTTGCATCGTGGGAAGGCAACACCCTTGAGGATGCTGGTTTTTGCTGGACACTTTACTAACCCCAAACTCCAGTGTAGCCAACCATTTGATCTCACCTTCCATCCTCCAAAACCTGAATTTTTTGGTCTTACCACTACTGTGTTAATCAGATTAACGTGTTAGGACTTTCAAAAATAAATTTTCTAGCCAATATATCTTGACTGAGTTCTCACAATAGAAAAGCCCCAGCCACCGCATCAATATAGCTGCTACGGTCGGGTCATACTCCGACCTTGTTGTGTATCTTGCTAATTTCCTGTTAATATTCATTATGGCTATTTGTGTCAGTGAATATTTGCTGACTGACTAACCACTCAGCGGCTTTAATCACTTGGCTATTTCTTATTTTTTTCTTAATTTAAGTTATTCCATAACTTTCCTAAGTGGTCAAGCTTTATTTATTAACCTATGGGGCTAAACTATATGTAAGTTAATTTAAAATCAGTTATTCCAATATTTCAATCATTATTCTCTCTCTTAATTTGTAGTAATGTATTTGTATTATTTCAGATATGCAAATCGAGCACGTTTAATTAAAAATAAACCAATTTTAAATCGTGCTGATCCTAAAGATGCTGAACTTGCTAAACTGCGTGTTTTGGTTGCTCAATTACAAGCACGATTAGCTAACAATTCCTCTTGTTTCCCATTACTCAGTCCTTGTCCAAAAACAATTATTAAACCATTATCTACTATTACTACTACTACTACGATTAATAATAATTCTACTAACAGTCATTTTTCTTCAGAATTAGTTACAAATCTCATGAATAAAAATAAAAAGTTAGAGGTTAGTAAGTTGTATCATGTTGTTATAATCACTATATTCTATTCATTTACTTTATCTCTGGATTAGAAATTTCTGTGATTATTACTTTCAAGTTTTGCATCATGACCCCAAGACAATCATAATCAGATATTCTAAATTTCTGGTGCGTTGAACACTTGTGATGATCACTGATCAGTTTCTATGCCCTCATGGGTGTTAAACTTGAAAAGTGAACAAAATTGAAGAAAAATGAATGCAACAAGTGGTTTACCTTCAATTCTGTTGTAGTTACGAAAATGAGGGGTTATTTCCCGGATTAGTATCATCGACCATGAAGTCATAGATACTGTCAGGAAATATGTTAAAATTATTGATAATTTGGATTAGAGAAGGACATCAAGTGCATTCGATTTCTAGAATTCTAAAGAATTTTCCAACTGTATAGATTGATTTGCAGTGTTTTTCAACTCCGTTCTCTAAATAACGTTCATTGAAATTCTCTAACACGATCAATAGAAAATTCACATAAATGATGAAGATAGCTAAATATTCGATACCTTCAGACAATAAATCAGGTCTATATACGCCAATAAGTTAAACCTAAGTGTCACTAAGTCTGCATCGGACAACTGATCGGAACGTCCCTCAATGTCCTGTGCTAGTTGTTATATAGTTGTGACATAAAAATAGTCTATTAATCATGTACCTAAACTATATACCAAATTGTTAACTTGATGAGTATTGATTGAATACTTTTCTAATAAATTTCTCGAGTTATACCTCTATATCGCAGTTATATCAGTTTTTTTATTTCATCACGAAAACTATAAATCCTGTGAATAAATTTATTGCATTCATCAGATAATTCGGTATGAACTATACTCTAAGTGTGAAGACTAATAATACCTCGTGCTTGCCCAAATTGATGTAGGTGGAACGAGGTTTGAACCAGAGGCTCAATTGTTTAACGCTTTAATTCAATAGCTTACCCCTCTTATTATCCCAATCAAATTGCCGTAATAAATAGATTTTTAACTTATACATGTATTTATTTTAAAAAATAATCATTTATTATAGAGTGAGAAGCTTCTGCTTTGTGCAGAATTAGATCATATTGTCGAACAAATGAATGAATTATACAAAAATCGTTTCGATACTGATCATTTACATGATACAGTAATTTCTGAACTCCAAAAAATCGAATCAATTCTCAAGTAATTTCTGATATTTATTTTAACAAAAAAATATAATTACAGCTCCTTAAATCAATTTGTTAGAGATAAATTCAATGAATATCCTGAACTGATTAGTTATATTCAAGAATTGGAAGATATCCTAACTGGATTGATAAAACTTTATAATGAGTCGAATAAAGTAAGTTCGTGGTGAAATGACTTTTCGGATATATTTATCACTTTGCTTATCCTTCCCCTTAATCTGTTATTCTTTTGATTTTCGTATCGAGATCTCTGTATCAAGGTGTGGTACTTGTAGAGATGATCAGGAAGAAAACCTACCTCACTTATTGTTCTAGTTAGCCCCCATATATCAGCATAGAGTGTTTACAATCCTGTGTGATTGGAACTCTTTACTTTATTTGTACGAACCAATTATTTAGCCCTGTGTCATATCCTTATACGCAATCTTTTGTCGAATATATTACTACCATTGAAGTAACTGCTTCTATGAATTCGGTGTTGATCTTGTTGTGCTAAGTAATTATGGCAATTTGGATCGATGCATATATGTGCTTGGTCATATGTTATAGCTGACTGACTGAAATAAATCATGATTACACTGTGAATCCCCTTACTAACAAGTTTTTGCCTACTAGCCAATCTAAGTTCAATAACCCCTAGAATTTGTAAATTCATCGTACCACTTTATTTTATCACACTTCAATTTATTCTTAGTGGGCTGAATATGCGTAATAGTCACTTAAATCACCTTATTCGTCAAATGTTTAAATTATAAGTTTCAAGAAATCCTATTTAATAAGACACGCTCCGACTGTTATTCAGATAATCTTTTAAAGCTTTTGTGATATATTTTTGATCATTTTATGTAGGTGACAAAACTTCAAGAACATAATCGCCGGCTTCAATGTGAAATGTCTCGTATGGTTTCAGTGCACGAACGGCAACAAGCTGTATTAAAGCGCCGTATTGAAGCTGCTGCGGCTGCTGAAAGTCGACTTAAAGAATTGTTATTACGTCAAAAGGCTATTAGAAATGAACGTGATGAATGTGTATCTGAAGGGAACAATGCTAAAAAGTAAGAAAGTATTTTATTTTGTGAATGAATGTACATTTGTCCCTTATACTAATAATAACAATCTTGTTCTCACTAGCGACTAACGTCGAGAGGTAGTTCCCAGAACTCCAGTGAAGGTCGTGGATTAGTCGGGTCCACTTGTATAGGTTATAAGGTGTTGCTAGATAGTTGCTCAATATCGCTTATTGAATAATATGGAAAATTAAAAACTGTTGGATAAAGACTAGTCCAAAGGCTAAGCACTTGTCACGAGACTTTAAGTTCTTAAGCCCAATCCTCGGTGTGGTCGTGGATGCTCATTGCGTCCCATTTTAGTACCAAACAACTTTCAAATACTTTCTGGCTTTTTTTAATGATTGTCCATCTAACGATAGGCCATGATACAAACTATAATATCCCACGTCTATCTCCTTTATATGATTGTTTAAAACTGGCATAAATTTTGGTCAAAATATCTTCAAAATTACTGTCTATCACAAGCATTATTAACTGGAAAAATCGGGGATTCAGTCATTTAGTCCTAGTTTAGAACCCGTGTACAATGCTCCATGTTAGTCATAGTAGGAATCAGTCGTCAAGAAGCTAGATGTAGAAAAATATCTGGTGATTCTTCCCAAAGGGCAGCTGTCCACGCAATATTAAGAAATATCTATAAAACTCATGAACAAGCTCAAAATCTAATATAGAAATCTACAAACCGATAACCTTACTATATATGAAGGACATCAGAAAGTACAACCTGATTTTTGAGGCTCTCTAGTGTATAGGTATGGCTCATAAACCTGCAAAATAATTTCGATAAATATTATACAAACCATAAAATGAAATAATCTAAGAAAATAAGTTGGATATCATGTAAAAAATAGACTGCTCCAACTGTAATAAAAAGTACATCTGGCACGATAGCCCCGATCTTACTCTTTGTTTACATGAACGCCAGTTACCTGTTAAAGGTCACGACATATTTTCATTTACGTCAATGTATGATGGCAATTGCGTATACGCGTTTGACTGTGGAACGGTATCTTGGACTGAGGCAACACAAGGAAGGCCAGAAAATTATTTAGAATCTCAGTTCTCAGGTCAATTTGTAGTCAAGAGATTTTTCAAAACAGAATCAATTTATCACTCATTTGAAGCTATAATAAATCAAGGTGAACACATAAGAAATGATCGATCAAAGACTGACAACAACCAAGAGCAAAGCTGACAGGATAGGTCATTTAGAGAAATTCCGATAGCTCACCTCTATCTGAAGTTCGTGTTATCAAGAAAGACTGTGAAAGCCCCATGAGTAAATCACCCAGCTGCGAGGATGCAACTCACTAAATATTCTCAGTATTTAGTTTTTCTTATTATCATTACCATTTGATTATTTCGATTTCTTTTGCTATTTATTTATCGAATTTCATTTCGGGGGAATTACTGAGATCTAACACTAGTTTATTTCGAGGCTTGCATTTCCACATGTTTGACATCATAAACGATGGAATTAGCTTGATGCAATTACCGAACATGATGTTGTACACTTTCAAAAAGAAATAACTAGCGAATTCTTTAGGTTAAAAATATACATTGATATGAGTGTTTTCATTAATTCTAGATTAGCATATCATTAAGTCCCTATTACTTATCGAAATTAAACAGAAACACACAAATATATCAGGTTAATTAATGCGTCGAAGAGCGTCTTGATATGATGTTATTTTCACTATTTCCTGGAAAATCATTTACTTTTCAGTGGTGAATTATGACTAGTTATCTGTTCTGTGCATTTTACAGTTATCATGTAGATTAGACTGAAACACGACTAACCTGTATGTAACTGGATGTGGATATATGTCCATACTAATAGGATGCTCATGGTATGTTTCTTCAAAATATTGCATATTTACGTTAGTGTTGTAAACTCGGTGAAAAAATACCGACCTTTGAATTTGATTTATCAATATCAGAATGTGTTACTCACCGTCATCATTCAAAATTTCTCTACATTTTGCTTGATCTCAGCTCTATTCGCTTTTGAGTTTATCATCACTCTCTCAATAAGATACTTGAGTACATACAGTTAACCCATGATATATCGATTTCCGCGTGTCAGCCTTCGAGTTTTATTATGCTGACCAGATACTTGTACTACATGCAGGTCGGTATTTGTTATATTCAGTTCTTTTATAAGCACAACTTCTTTTGTGACTTTCAGTGTAAATGTTCGTTCCATAGTTTAAACTATCTAAATACTTATCCCATTAATTAGATTCGATTTGGCTGCACGAGTTCGTGCTTGGGTCAAAACAGATTTAGATGTCCAAATCAGTATGGATACTGTTAGATATCATCTGCGTCAGTTTATGGATTCACGTAAAACACTGTGTGATCGATTGCGCACGATCGAAGCCAGAATGGAAAGTTGCCGACAAGATGGTAAACCTTATGATATGTATATTGAAGACATGAACAGTCTAACTGAATGGATTCAATGTCAAACACAACAAATTAGCGACTTACAACAAAAACTTATGAATGCTGGTGAAATATCGTTGACAGATGCCTCCGGTTCACCTCATTCGACTGCTCAAATACTCTCATTTCGTTTATGCCAACTACATAGCATCCAAGAGGCACGAATAGCTTTGAAATATCTATTCAGACAAGTAGGTTGTACTTTTTATTCTTTTCTAACCAGACTGACCAATTGATGAATCTGTCCAAATGGTATAGGATTTTTACGTCGACTTAAGAACTTCACAAATGGATTCGAGTACTAGTATTTCAGTGGAAAACTTATCATTCCAACTTACATTCTCCTCAGATTTTCGTTTCTCTGTCATTAGTTGAGATTCCAATTCACATATTTGAGTTTCTAAATTAATCTTAGAAACTTTAGATGACGATGCCTATGAAATAAATAAAAAAGGGCAAGAATAAGCAAAATAAAGAACTGTTGACTAGTCGAATCAGATCACTACATTTTTATAGAGAATAAATAAGTGGAATTCATATCCTATTGGCATTACTTTGCGAAGCCTGTTTACAGAATCGACATTCTGCTGTAACTTACATCATTAAATTAATAAACCATATTGCACGGACGTATGTTGTTATATGTCTACCCAGTGACCACTTATATTCAAATGTAGCTTGACAATTTGGACAGATGCATCAATTGGTCAGTCTGGTTAGAAAAGAATAAAAAGTACAACCTACTTGTCTGAATAGATATTTCAAAGCTATTCGTGCCTCTTGGATGCTATGTAGTTGGCATAAACGAAATGAGAGTATTTGAGCAGTCGAATGAGGTGAACCGGAGGCATCTGTCAACGATATTTCACCAGCATTCATAAGTTTTTGTTGTAAGTCGCTAATTTGTTGTGTTTGACATTGAATCCATTCAGTTAGACTGTTCATGTCTTCAATATACATATCATAAGGTTTACCATCTTGTCGGCAACTTTCCATTCTGGCTTCGATCGTGCGCAATCGATCACACAGTGTTTTACGTGAATCCATAAACTGACGCAGATGATATCTAACAGTATCCATACTGATTTGGACATCTAAATCTGTTTTGACCCAAGCACGAACTCGTGCAGCCAAATCGAATCTAATTAATGGGATAAGTATTTAGATAGTTTAAACTATGGAACGAACATTTACACTGAAAGTCACAAAAGAAGTTGTGCTTATAAAAGAACTGAATATAACAAATACCGACCTGCATGTAGTACAAGTATCTGGTCAGCATAATAAAACTCGAAGGCTGACACGCGGAAATCGATATATCATGGGTTAACTGTATGTACTCAAGTATCTTATTGAGAGAGTGATGATAAACTCAAAAGCGAATAGAGCTGAGATCAAGCAAAATGTAGAGAAATTTTGAATGATGACGGTGAGTAACACATTCTGATATTGATAAATCAAATTCAAAGGTCGGTATTTTTTCACCGAGTTTACAACACTAACGTAAATATGCAATATTTTGAAGAAACATACCATGAGCATCCTATTAGTATGGACATATATCCACATCCAGTTACATACAGGTTAGTCGTGTTTCAGTCTAATCTACATGATAACTGTAAAATGCACAGAACAGATAACTAGTCATAATTCACCACTGAAAAGTAAATGATTTTCCAGGAAATAGTGAAAATAACATCATATCAAGACGCTCTTCGACGCATTAATTAACCTGATATATTTGTGTGTTTCTGTTTAATTTCGATAAGTAATAGGGACTTAATGATATGCTAATCTAGAATTAATGAAAACACTCATATCAATGTATATTTTTAACCTAAAGAATTCGCTAGTTATTTCTTTTTGAAAGTGTACAACATCATGTTCGGTAATTGCATCAAGCTAATTCCATCGTTTATGATGTCAAACATATTCCAGTTAATCGATACCACGTGAATCTGCTGGATACTGCCATTTTACTGTAATTCTAACTGTTATATCTTACTTCTGAAAAATAAAATTGCTATATGCAGCAAATACAGACTTATTTGTTTTGATGGAGGTAGGGGGGTTCATGGGATTTTTAGCACGACTGTAATAATATTCTCACTAAAGAGCTAAGTGAGTGCGTAGACCAATGTAGGGTACCATACAGGGTGCATTTGAGTAACTAGTGTTGCATTAGTGCGGGTAGAGGCATTGCTTGCTTGTCATATGGCATTTGAATAAGAAGCTATAGGATTAGACTCAGGGACGGTTAGGAAATATAACGCGTGTCCATCCATCAGTTGCCGTGGCAACTCATGATGGCTAGAATAAGTTGTTAGAGGACTCGAGTCTGTAGACTCCTCAAGAAAATGACGAAGATATGCACCAAATCAACTTATGAACAGCGCCTCCAATCACTTGACCTCTACCCATTAGAGTATAAACGTCTTAGAGGTGACCTTCTAATGGCTTACAGTATCCTTAACACTTCTGTACACTCTCAAACACCTACTTACGCTTGGTTCCAACACTAACCTAAGAGGTAACACCCAAAAACTGGAGACAACATAGCAGAACGGACTGTAGACGCAACTTCTACTCCTTAGGAGTTGTCAAATGCTGGAATCCGCTGCCTGCCGAGCTAGTCCAAGCGACTTCCCAGGAGTCCTTTAAGAGGCAAGTGGATCTATTCTTAAGGATTAAGGATAGTATCATACTATGATTTACCAATTTCTCTTTCCTCTTTTATTGTTAACATACCTAGGTTCCTGCCTGGAGGTTTTGGTGACCCTCTGCTATTAGACACGGAAGCCTGTTAAGCGAAAGCTCCTTCCATTCCGTCTACAACCATTTGAACACATGAACTAGGTGCTGAGAGGCTCGCTTATCACAAGTTTCTTGCAACGATTAAGTAGATAAGGCAAAGTAGCATTAGATTCAAAAATTTATTCAAGAACTTTCATTAAGAATCGAATATCAAACAAAGGTTTAAACCAAGTCCCCGTTTAAACGTGTTGGTAATGTTAAGCTGCAGTTTTTGTTGTTTTTTCCAAACGAAAGAGTAAAAGAAGTCAAAATATACTGGAAGTGGTTGTGAGACTAAAATGGACGTCTAGCATTCTTTTTATAATCTGCTGTTCGTTGGGTCTCACGTAAACAGTTCCATAGGGCCATAGTTCCAAGGGCGAAACAGTTTTTAGGGTCTGTGAAGGCTCACTCCTGTTGCATTCTAAATGAAAAAAAATAGTGATGGATTTATTCAAAAATGTGAAACAGATAAATAAACAAATTACATGTTTTTTAGCAAAGAATTTATGCAGTTGTGATTTACCTTGAGTTCATGAATATTAGATAAGGTCAGCTACTATTACTTGCGCAAAGCATAACATGGGCTTAGTACCGTATTGCAATGCTTTTATTATTTTGCTCCCGTTTAAGTATTCCCAAACATCTGCGTCTAGTTTATTAATAGGAAAACATACAAGCAGAGTTGGTGTCTGATGAACTAAAAGTCCCAGCTGTCAAAAAGATTCTAAACATTTGTCCACAGCCAGCTGCATCTAATTGAGACTGGGGTGGTTCACAACAAAAAGGAGCTTGTAAACGGTATATCAATACACTGGTTTAATAATAATATACTAAAAAAGAATTAATGGTAAAAAAACCAAAGTGCCTGTCTGTGAGTAAAAACCAAGAGTAACGAAATATAGTTACGATACAAATGGTATATTATGCAAACAGACAATAACAGTTACTGTAGAATAAATGTTACTTGTGAGCTGCTTCGTGAGAACAACAACCACAAATAAGTTCACTCGATTAACGAAGGTTCCTCTGCAAGTAATTGCACCAACGGCCTATTGAGAATGATTACGTCCAATAGTATTATAATATAATAATCCGTGCCAGAATTCCAACGTGGTGTTCGGAACGGTTAAAGGGATGTTATAACACCATTATAGTCTTCAATCAAAAACCGTGGTCAATAATTTTTAAACCCCGCGGTAGTAAAACCGTATATTACTCATCGAAACTTCGATAGAACGATGAGAAGACGGAGTTGATCTGGAAAATGTGATGTATTTGCGCTGTACATTTCGAACAATCTGGTCACACATACTTGTCAAGGCATTTTTATATGAAAAATAATAAAGGTCAAACAAACAAATAAAAGTACAACTAAAATAACTAAGAGGGGGAGAAAGAATAAGAAATTGTCGCGTTATCCTAGGCCATAGAATGACTTAAGGATTACCAAGGTAAATTCAAGGTTACGACAAATTGTTTTTGTACACATAAGGGGGGTCTAAATTTACGAATAGCTAAGGCTTCAATAAACTTAGGAATTCGACCTTGACAATTTCTATACAACATTCTAAATGCTGTATTAATGTTAATTTTGTGCCCCGTCTCAATTATGTGTTTTGCTATTGATGAACTTGGTTTTCTACCTCCTACATTGATCGGATCATTTGACACACACTGATTTTGAAGCCATCTGGGTACATGTTCATTGACCCTTGATTGCATTGTTCGATTACACCTCCCTATGTATTTGTGTCCATACAAACATGTAAATTGGTAAATACAATGGGATGTGACGTAATCATTAGTGCATTGTTTGCGTCTATTATGAATCATGGCTTTAGACTTTTCAATCACTACCAACTGAGCAGCATAATACGTATTCTCAATGGCTGCTTTCAATCTGTGCCTTAAAACTACACTGTTTGATTCGCCTCTATATGGTAGATTGATGTAAACCTTTTTCTTTGGCACTGAATAAGTTAGAGGTCTTGGCATTAACTGACTTCTGCACCTATTAATAAACTTGAGTGGATAACCATTTGCTATTAAAGTGTCAGTCAGTAACTTTTCGTCTTTTTCCACCACATCAGAGGTACATATTCTTCGAGTCCTCTTAAAGAGGCACTTAACTAGACCTCTCTTGTATTGCAATGGACAGAAACTATGGAAATTTAGGTATTGTCCCGTCCAAGTTGCTTTCCTATACACGGACTGTCTAATAGTGCCATCATCCCTTCGACTTAAAAGTATGTCTAGAAAGGCTAATTGGCCATTACTTTCTGGTTCATGTGTCATCACAATATCATTTTGAACACCATTGAGTTTATCCAGTAATCGGTAAACATCAAAATCCTTATCACATATAATTAGAATATCGTCCATATATCTTCTATATAGAGTTGTCTCACCAATGAGGTCGCTCGTCATATTTTCCACATATGACATGAATACCTCAGCTAAGAGAGGCCCTAAAGGGCTACCCATAGCTACACCATCAACTTGTCGAAAACATTCACCATCAAATGTAAATTGAACATTAGCTGTACATAATAAAAGTAAATCTTTCAAAAATGGTGACGGAATAGGAAAAAGGGGAAAGTTTTTTGAAATATAGTCACAAAGGAAATCCACCGTCTTTGTTAACGGTACATTCGTAAAGAGGGAGTTTACATCAAATGAATGCAAAGATTTATCTTTAATATTAATATCATCAAGAAAGTCAATTAGTTCAAATGTATCTTTTGAAGAGAACTTACATAGATTAGTACGAATAGGGTTTAACAGTTTTACTAACCATTTAGCTAGCTCGTGTGTGTGTGAACCACGCATAGACAAAATTGGTCGTAATGGAATATTAGGTTTATGAATTTTAGGTCTTCTTTTCTTCTTCTTACGCCTGTTACTCCCAATGGAGCATAGGCCGCTGACCAGCATTCTCCAACCCACTCTATCCTGGGCCTTCTTTTATAGTTCCATACAATTCTTGTTCATTTTTCTCATGTCTATCACCATTTCTCGGCGTAATGTGTTCTTTGGTCTTCCTCTTTTCCTTCGACCTTCAGGATTCCATGTGAGGGCTTGTCTTGTGACGCAGTTAGGTGCTTTCCTCAATGTGTGTCCTATCCACTTCCAGCGCTTCTTCCTGATTTCTTCCTCCACTGGGATCTGGTTTGTTCTCTCCCACAGTACGTTGTTGCTAATAGTGTCCGGCCAATGGATCTGAAGTATTTTGCGTAGACAATTGTTAATAAACACCTGTATTTTCTGGATGATGGCTTTTGTAGTTCTCCAGGTTTCTGCCCCATACAGTAGAACTGTCTTGACATTTGTATTGAAAATCCTGACCTTGGTGTTGGTTGACAGTTGCTTTGAGTTCCAGATGTTCCTCAGTTGTAAATATGCTGCTCTTCCTTTTCCGATCCGCGCCTTCACATCTGCATCAGATCCACCCTGTTCATCAATGATGCTGCCCAAATACGTAAAGGTTTTTACATCTTCCAAATCTTCTCCGTCAATTGTGATTGGATTGGTGCATTCTGTGTTGTATCGGAGAATCCTGCTTTTCCCTTTGTGTATATTGAGACCTACTGCTGCTGAGGCTGCTGCCACACTGTTCGTCTTCTCCTGCATCTGTTGTTGCGTTTGGGATAGAAGGGCCAGATCGTCTGCGAAGTCTAGATCATCATCGAACGACTTTGTCAATTGTTCTCCATGCACGATTTTGCAGTGTAATCCATCATATGAGTTCTGTATGATATTGCTAAATCTTCCACATATTTACGTTTGTCGGTTCTGATGCTCCTCTTCACTTGTTTGTTTACTTCTGTGTATTCAGCTTGTGCCTTGGCTTTTTCTGCCCTTGTTCGACTGGTATTGATTGCTGCCTTCTTGTTCCTCATTTCTTGAATCTTATCCAGTGTATCAACACTGATCCATTCCCTGTGATGGTGCTTATTGTGACCCAGGACCTCATGACATGTTGAAGTGGTTGCTTCTTTGATCCCCTTCCAGTTGCTCTCCACAGTAGTTCCTTCTCCATTGAGTAGATCATGAAAGGCCTGGAACTTGTTGCTGAGGACTATCTTGAATTTGTTGAGTTTGTTAGTATCCTGAAAAAAGGCCGTATTGAACTTTTGTGATATTGTCCGTCCCGTTGTTCAATGTTTCTTGAGTTTCAATTTCATCTTGGCGACTAGCAAACGATGATCTGATGCTATATCAGCTTCTCTCTTGGTTCTCACGTCCTCTATAGTCCTCCTGAACGTTTTGTTGATGCAAATATGGTCGATTTGGTTTTGCGTGGTGTGATCCGGTGAAGTCCATGTGGTTTTATGTATGCGTTTATGTGGGAATATGGTGCCGCCTATGACCAGTTTATTGAAGGCGCATAGGTTTGCAAATCTCTCACCATTTTTGTTCCTTTCATGAATTTTAGGTAATCCATATAAATTCGGCAGAACTGAACCCGAGGGTTTTAGTATATTAAACTCCTCGTTGTTTATGACGTTCATTTTAAGAAGCTTTAATAGATTGGACTTCAATCTGGATTCCAATTTTCTAACATTAATATTAGAAGAAACGTCCTGTAAGAATTTACTTTGATCACCCAGTATAGATAACACTTTGTCTTTATATTCACATTTATTGATAACGACCACCCCAGAACTTTTGTCAGGTCTGATGATCACAATATCTGACCTACTTTGGAGGTTTTTTAACGCAGCGGAATGTTTAGGAGTCAAAATACTTCTTTGTCTGAACTGAGATCCGTGAAAGTGGTGGGCAACGTCAACCAATTTCACCTTTAACCAATTTTTCCTATCCAGGGTGGTTGGGACAAGAGGGTTCAACTGATCATAAAGATTTTCAAATTGAGCATCTATCGACAGATCAGAAATCTTGGTATGTGCATTATGTCGTATTAAATTTATGAATTTTTGCAGTACTGCGGTTGCTAAAACAAATCATACTACTAAACAAAAGCTGAGTAAATCGCTTATGTATGATAATGATGGAAATTTATTTCAATTTAACCCGGATAAATATGTATCAAATTTATCAACTGTTAGGCTTTCTGCCTTTTGCGGCTTAGCAGGCGAAGGGTACGGTTCTTGATTACTGTAGGTGGCTTGCAGCTTTTGGGAACCGTTTGAGGAACTGAATGGTCTGTAGCACATAAGAGAGTGTGCAGTAAGAAGTCCCAATGACCATCCACATCGAGTTGAGGGTGAACATCCCAAACCACCTGTTGTAGATAGTCATGTAGAGCTGGCACATTCAGCCGTTTAAAATTCCAACGCAAATTATTGTTGGGATACCTTAGCTTAGTTTTGATGACAAAATCGTATATTACTCATCGAAACAATCATCATCGTTATTAACGTGTAGTACAGAAAAACAACAGATATTGAATAAAAATGTGGTTACATATAAAGTGTGACAAACTAGAGAGAAAATACGATTTGTATTTTGTCTTTACCAAAACTCATTGAATATACGTCACCATATAACTCCTACCTTAGGGCATGCGTCAG